TGTGTGTGTGTGTGTTATAACAGGCAGAGCAGTGGTGGTGCCCACCTTTAATCCCAGCACCCAGGAGGCAGAGGCAGGCAGAGCTCTGTGAGTTTGAGGCCAGCCTGGTCTATAGATTGAGTTCCAGGACAGCCAGAGCAACACAGAGCAACTCTGTCTCTAAAACCCATATATATATATATGTGTGTTTGTGTGTGTGTGTGTGTGTGTGTGTGTGTGTGTGTGTGTAAGTAGATAGGTAGATGATAGATAGATAGATAGATAGATAGATAGATAGATAGATAGATAGAAAGATAGATAGATAGATAGCATGGTCTCACTGGACATCTCTGGATGACTTCAAATTTCCAACTCCCTTGCCCTTGCCCCCAGCTCCCAAGCGCTGAGAATGCAGGGTTGCACCATCATGCTCTGCCGTCTTCCTGATCTTGACTCTGAACATGCAGCAATCTGGGAAATCCTTCAGTTCAGAGCGAACCAGAGCAGTTGATCACAGTCCCAGAGGTGACAAGGCAGAGAAAGAGCAGAAAGGAAGCGGCACCTCACCAAAGCAAAGGCAGACCAGGCTACTCCACGTACTTCTCTGGAAGAAGAGCTTAACAGTCCTAGAGAACCCAAGGTTCTTTCTTAGAGAAGCCACCCATGGGACCTCCCTCCAGGCTGCCCAGGTTCCTGCAGTCCTGGTGTGGAATGCCTTCCTCCTCTTCCTGGAGGAGATGTGACCAGTTCTGAATTTGCTGACAGCATCCCTGAGTTCTCTTCACAACTCTGCTTGTAGGTGCTGTGGGCACTTGAGTGACTCCCCTGCTGTTGCTTGGAGCAGAAATCTTTGTAGTGGCTTTGGCGATTATGGGCTGTGTGTCCAGCAGGCCTTAGCACTCCCTTTTCCTGGTTCCTTAGAGAACTCCTGTCCTATAATATGTGGTCTTGGGAGAGCTGTCAATCACTGTGCCATCTCCTCCCAGGTCCCCAGGGATGGGTGTGTTTTCCAGACTTGTCTAGCTATAATATCATGTCCTCCAGACACTATGATTTCTTCAGTGGAGGGTGTGACCCCAAACCCTGGCTTCTCTGATGGAGCTGGAAGGGAAGACTGCTTCTGTCCCTTTACAATCAATGAAGACAAAGCTTGGGTCTGTGGAGGGAGGGGGAAGGGACTGGGAGGAAGGGAGGGAGTGGGAATTTGAATTGGTATTTTTTGAAGTAATAAAAAAAAAAGAAAATGGGATCCCAATAAAAAAAGAAAAAGACAAAGCTTGGGAAAGTGGCCTGCCAGCCACCTTTTCAGAAAGGTGGAGAAAACGTCCCTGTGGAAATGGAGACCAGAATGAAACAAACCTAAGAGAAGAAAAGTGGGGCATTTGCTTGAGCCCCTTGATCCTACCAAGCCTGCTATCCCAGTGCCGGAAGCTAACTCTGTGCCTGCATCTATCCCAGTGCCTGCAGCTAGCCCACTGCCTGCAGCTAGCCCACTGCCTGCAGCTAGCCCACTGCCTGCAGCTAGCCCACTGCCTGCAGCTAGCCCCGTGTTTTACTTTCTTGAACGAGGATTTTTACATTGCTTCTCTGCTTCTTTCAGTGGGTATTGAGTTTCTAGACCTTGCAACTAGAAGACTCTTCACCTATGTAACGTTTTTACCTACAAAAAAAAAATGGACCTACCTTCTTGTAGGGCTACTGGAAGGGTGAAATGAGGTCACTGTCATTAGGTGGATTTCAAAAGAGAAAAACACTGCCTACTGCAGTCATAGGTGGCTGGTGAGAACACAAAATGACACAGAGACTGTGGAAACAGTTTGGGAGTTCCTCAAGGGTTCAAATATAAAATTACTCTGTGACTCAGCTGCACTGCTCCTAAACGCAGCCACGCATCACTTAAAGACAGGGCCACTATGGCAGAAGTGCACTGCTGGGCCTTGTCATTTCTATACCAGTATCACAGAGAGCATCCTACACAGACCCAGATGGCCAGGCTTCATGGGACCACCTAAGCCTGGACCATTGTCACACCGTCACACCATGTGTGGCCGTATGTTACCCAGGGAAGTCGAGATGTATGTTCAGATGAAAACTTGTACCAGATGTCTGTACAAGCAGCATTATTCACCGTAACCCAAAGTGGAACACCCCAAAGAGCATCACCTGCAGAATGGATAAACATTGTGGCGCTGCCGTCCAATTGGAATGCCGTTTATGACAAAGAGAAATGAAATGCGGACACCGCTATTCCATGCGTGAATGTTAGAGACATCACGAAATGGGAGAAGCCAGACACAGAGGCCTCATTCTGGATGAATCCGTTTACATGAAATGTCCAGAACATGCAGATCCACAGAGATAGAAAGGTTAGTGGTTGCCAGCGGCTGGGTGAGGGAACTAGTGGCTCATGGGAGCAGGGTTTCTTTGGGGGATGATGACAGCATTGTGAAATTAGTGGTCACGGTGACACAATCCTGCGACTATTCGAATATAGTTGAACTATATGGTGGATTGCATGGCATGTGTTCCACCAAAACTACAGGCGACTATGAGCGCTGTCCACGTGAAGAGTTGGGAGATGCCATGCTGTGCCATGGTGCGGTCAATCAGCTCAAAGCCCAGCTCCCATAAAGTCCTTCATCCAGTTCTCTGAGCTCCTCATAGCCTTGGGATCCACATCACAAATTTCTTATGCATCTGCTGGGTCTGTGTGCCATACGTAAATAATGCTTAACGGGCTGGGAAGGTAGCTCGGCCTGTAGTGTCTGCCACATAGCATGAGGGTTTAGATCTCCCACATGTTTTTTATGTTTTAGAACATAAAAGCTGGGATGGCAGAGCACATCTGTGACCACAGGCACCTGAAGGCAGAAACAGGAAGACCTAGGAGCTGACTAGTTCGCCAATCTAGCCTAATCGGTGAGGTTCCAGTCCAATGAAAGAGCCTATCTCAAAAAATATAGTGGAGAAGGGCTGGAGAGATAACCCAGCGGTTAAGAGTGCCTAATGCTCTTCCAGAGGATCTGAGTTCAGTTCCCAGTATCCATGTCAGGTGACACAACCACCTATATCCAGCTTCAGGGGGCTCCAATGCCTGTGGTCTCCATGGACACTTGCACTCACATACACATACATGTGTCTGTGCACGTACAGACATGTGCACATATGCACATACTTTCTTAAACAATAAATAATAATAATAAAACCACATAAAATGTGCACACACATACTTTCTTAAATAATAAAAGTAAAAGTGGACATAGATCAAGGGAGATCCCCAAAGTTACCTTCTGGCCTGCACATGTGTGTGTGTGCACGCACACAAAATGTGCACACACATATACAAAAATAAAGTTTCATTGTGAAGGGTTGGGGATGTTGCTTTGTGGCAGACCACTTGTTTAGCAGGCTTGAGACCCAGGGTTCAGTTCCAGTGCCACAAAGTAAACTGAAAAGATTGTTAAATAACATTTAATAATGATTGCCTAAACATTAAGCTGGACACTACAAGGGTCCCAGCAAGCACCCAACATTTCCCTGTCAGGCCATCCAGTGTCAGTCTCATCCCAAGGCCAAGGACTTCCTCTAGCCTGCTTCCTCTAGCCAAAGACTGCCCCAGCCCCTCTCCTATCCTGGCAGAGGACATAGAAGTTGGTTCTTTTGATCTACGGTCTCCTTTAGAACAGCAAGAGAACCCGACCCTTTATCACACCATCCTTTTCTGAAACTTGGCCCTGAGGTTGAGAACACTGATTCAGTCCTAAGACCTGAGAGCCTCCTCCCTCCTCTTCTCCCCCTCTTCTCCTTTCTCTTTCTCTCTCTCTCTCTCTCTCTCTCTCTCTCTCTCTCTCTCCTCCCCTAAAATTAAAATCACCTTTGCTCAGCCTTTGCAAATGGTGGACCTTCTCAACACCCACCTTATCCTCAAGGATTCTCCCCGAATGTCCACTCTGGAAAGCCCTTCTCATCCCTCCCTGCCACCTTCCCTCTGTGCACCTCCTCATCCTTCATACTCACCCATCTGTCCATCCATCCACTAAGCTCTTCTGCTCCCGAAGAAGAGTGTGAAGGGGGGGGGGGTTGGATTTAGAGGTTGGTTAAGTGTCCTTACAAACCAAGGAAATTTGTGAGAGAGAAAGAGAGAGAGAGAGCAAAGAAGTACATCAATTGCCATTTAGTTTCCCTGTGAAACACACTGAAGAGAATTGGAGAGAGAGCATGTGTCTGCAGATCCATTTGCAGCCTTGGAAGGTTCTCCCTACTCTTGCTTCCCCACACGCTGGCTACCCTGCTGGTTTCCTCTGCTCCACCGCTGCTGGGAAGGCCAGCCTCCACATCTGCAGACTGTGGCTCAAAGCCTAATTAAAAGCTCGGGCAATAAATGTGCATTGAAGTTAACTGTCCATGATTGCTATGGCTAGGGAGTAGTGTCTGGGTCCCAAAGAGATGCTTCTTGAACTATCAAATGTGGTCCCTGGTCTTCCTGGCTGCTTGGAATTTTTCAAGTGTGGAGGCTGGATCAGTGGAAGTTGGGAGTTCGACTGCCTTTGTTCCAGGGGCCCAAGAAGCACTATGGCCTTGACATTTTAAGCCCCAGGAAACAGAGAGAGACAAAGGAGTGTGTCAAAATAGTTTGAGGAAGGAGAATCCATCCAACTTGTGCAAAAAAGACCCACTGCAGAGTGGCCCAGGTCTTCTTAGGTTCCCCTATGGTCTTTATGCAGTTCTTTCTCCTAGAAAATAGACACCACAACTCGCTTTTCCTGGGCAGATCCTGATTTGATTGGGGATGGAGAACAGGCAGGTGCTGCACTGGCGAGGTAGCTGACTCCCGGGAGCCATCATTTATTATGACCATGAGCGTAGATGGGGTGGGTGGGGACGACAAGGAGAGGGCATCGGGCCAGCAGCCCAGGTGGCAGAGGGGCCAATATTGGCCCAGAGCCAGGGCCGCCGCGTGTCTGTGCCCCTCCCCGCCACTGGAGCCCTCCCACTTCCTCTGCGCCTCTGTCAGGGAGCGGGAGCCTGGAGCAGTGCAGGCTCCGGACGCCACTCGTAGACTGTGGCTGTCGCTCTGGCTCGCAGCCCCACGACCATCCCGCCACCGCGTCGCGGGCCATGGACCTGCCTAGGGGCCTCCTGGTGGCCTGGACCCTCAGCCTCTGGCCAGGTACGTGTCCCCCTTGTCTCCCTATTCTTCCGGGAGCCCCTCCCTACTCCTCCTGGACCTCAGCTCCAACTGTGAGGAGAGAGATGAGACGCGCCTCCCTTAGCACTACTTGGGGACACAGGTCTGCCCGGGAACCGGCTGCAGTTAAACTGTGCCGCCAAGACAGCAAAAGAGGGAGGCGTACCGAGGAAATTTTCTCTCGGACTGTGGTGTGCTTATGAAGAGAAGAAAGGACTTGAGTTGTTGGAACCACTGAGCACTTTGGGTGCTCCCGTGCAGCTGTGGGAACAAGTTCTCACGTGTCCACCGGACCACTCGGGCATCCCTCTGTTGCCAAGGGTCCAAGGCCCCAGCTGGGGCAAGGGACAGACAGATTTCGCCCAGCGAGCGTGACCCAACTGCCCTCCTGCCACCCGAGGCAGAGCATCCCGAAGTCTGGAGAGCCAGACGTAGTGGCCCCCAGAGAACCAGGAGCTCTAAGAGATCCCGAGTCCCTCCAGTTCAGCCCCTAGGCGTTGGCAAGCCCTCTTCAGCCCGACCACAGGCAGCGGGCACAATCCCTCAGTCCAGGACCGGTGGGAAAGATACTTGACACTAGCGTAGGGACAGAGCAGCGTCCTCAGCTCGCGCTCGGAATTATGCAATTATTCAATAATTGGGGGGAAGCCGCCGGTCACTGAAACGCCCGCCACCGCTTAAAGTGCTCCAAGCAGCGGGAGCTTCGGTACCCACGGGAAGGGAAGAAAGGCAAGCCTTTGGGCAATAAGCCTGGGTTACCCCGGCTCGGGCCTCCACACTGCCAGTACCCAGCGCAGCGCTCTTTGCTGCGGCTAGCGAAAGTTTTCCTGGCCCCTTCACAGTGTGGCAGAAGGCTCCAGTCAGAGCCTAAGGAACCAACGGGCAGTGGCGCTGTACCTAAATGAGAGCAACAGGAGAGCAGCAGAGGTGGTGACAATTGCCCTGGAGGAGTGCAAGTAGAGTCTGGTGGCCGTGGTCGGTTATCCCAATCTGGGAACACAAGTGTGCCCTCCTATCCTTTGTTGCTTCTGGGAGCGCCTGCAGATGAAAGGCCTCTGGAAACGAGCTGCATTTTGTTCTGATCCCAGGGACACAGTTGGAAACAAACATTCCTGTATGGTTTGGGGTTGGGGGAGGGGCAGGGGAAGCGTTGTTGCCAAACCAGTGGCTTCTAGAAAGCTCCAGGGATAGAAGCCCGCTGGGGGTGCCCTTAGGAGAGAAACTGTCTCCAGTCACTAGCGATCCAGCCACAGGAAGGACATGAACGCTCCTGGGTGGCTCCAGACAGGTGTCCCCAGAAAATGGAGACAGTTCAAACACCCCAACGCCAAGAGGGAGAGTTTGGAATCTAACTCTTCAGGACTTTGTGACCTCTTAGAAGTTTTTCTCGTGGGGACAGCGGAGGCAGAATTCTGAGCTGTCGAAGCTGTCTGGTTGGTTGAGGCTGAGTGCGCAGGAGGGCTCCATCAGCGGCTGTTAATGTTGGTGCCACTGAAGGGGGAGGAGCAGTGAGAGAGGGGGACGGGTTAAAGGACCTCTCAGGACAGGATTTGTGACCCATTGCTCCCTTTATATGGAGGAAACCACTTGTGCATTATGTCTGGTCAGTTTGGGGTTTTGAAACACGGGATTCATCAGACATATCAGTCAGTGCTAGGAGGGGATCTGCTTGCAAGAAGAAGGTAGGGCTGGGGATCTGCTTGCAAGAAGAAGGTAGGGCTCGCACACCCTTGCCAATTGGGCCGTGCTGTGGCTCAGGGTAAAGCAAGAGCTAAGAGAGTTAAGCGGAGGTGTGAGGGAGTGAACAGAGCAGAGGAACTAGGGTCTATGTGCTTGTTTTCAGACATGAAAGATTCAACGTTCACTAGGTAAGTCAGGGGGGCTTCCTGGATGAGGAACTGGACCCCCACACACAGAGCATAGAATGAGAGGGACTTAAAATGACATCGTTTATATTTCTAGGAACTCCAGAACTAAAGGAAGACAATTTGTGTGTGTGTGAGTGTGTGTGTGTGTGTGGGGGGGGTGCTTGTATGTATGTGTAGATAAGTGTGAAACTTTAGAATTACTTCAGGTGTTGTTCATCCAGTGTGATCCCCTGAGACTGTCCCTTCCTGATCTGGGACTTGCAAGCTGGCTGAGCTAGCTGGTCGATGAGCCCCAGAGATCTGCCTATCCATACCTCCCCAGCACTGGGGTTGCGAATGCATGCCACAACACCAGTTTTCATTTTAAAACCATAAAGGTGCCCGGCTGGTCTGGACTCTGTGTACTGGAAGGGTTTGAGGGATCACTGCGGCATTTTCCTGACCCTAGGGCAGAATCGACTTCGACCCCTTATCTGTGAGGCATATGGGTCCGAAGGGAGGCCCCAGGATCAAGCAAGATCAGGCTGTGTGGGAATGAAGGCCCTAGAGTCTTGCTGTCTGGAATTGACCTGGACTCTGCAGTTAGGCCTCACTGCTCCTGCCAAATTACTACCTGTGTCTCAGGTTCTTCTTCTACAAGGTAGGGATAGTAACAGAATTTGTAAAGTTATTGCAAAGACCTAATAAGCAGTTCACCTTGTTCTTGGTGAGTGCCGCCATATTGAGCCATCTTCTTTGCCAGCCGCCGCATCATAGGTGAAGGAAGGATCTAAAGATTAAGGATCTAAAGCTGCTCAGAAGCATCCCTCCCAAGTTCAAGGCCACAGGAGAAGTGTAGGGAGGTGTATGGGAGGCTCAGAGACATAGATGTGCCAGGATCCTAAACAAACCAAGACTCTCCCCACTCCTCTGGGCGAGGACCTGGTCGTAAGTCTTGATCTCAGAACAATCCATAAGACTTCATATTTTGACACCAAAGCTGTCCTCACACCAATTTGATCTTGGCACAGGCGAGAATTTGGTGTTAAGGAGGGGAAGGACCAACACACCGTTAGTGTGTCCTTCTGAGTGGAGGTCCCTCTCAACAGGAAAACCAGGTAGAATGTGAGCACCATGGCTGTCCAAAGACTCAAAAGGCTCCCTGCCTGCTCTCCAGCTGGGAAGGGCTGAGTCTGAGAGGCAGTTGATCACACTGCACGCTTGTCCAAGCCCCTCAGTCACCACGAGCTGGCTCTTGAGGAAATAAGACTGCTTAGTTACCATACCCGTGTCCCCCAACTCCTCAAAGAGGCGATGCAAACCACGGCCTTCTCATAGGTCCCAGCCACCCAGGACTGGAGACCCTCAGAGAGCTCCCTCAGTTCTCCCTTCCCACTTGCCCTCTCTGAAACCTCCTCCTCCTGCAACAGTAGGGAAGCCCCACATTCACCCCCACCCCCAAACACTGCCCAAGTGTCCTGTCCCTGTTGCTTGGACTAAAACTATGTTCTGGGCTGATTGATTTGGCTCTTGCTGTGTGGACGGGAGTTCACTTGGGGAATTTGAGGAACTCTCCTTCCTCTCCATAATGCCCAATTTGGGGTATTACTGCCTCTCCGCAAGCTTCAAGTTCTTTCTGGAGTCAAAGTTGATCACTGCAGTGTAGCTGTAAAGAGAAGGGATCGTCACCATTGTCAAAACTCACATCTGAGAGCTGGGGAGAGGCTCAGTCAGGAAAATGCTTGCCATGTAAGTCTGAGGATCTGAGTTCAGTCCCTCAGAACTCATGTAAAAAACCCATGAACTACCATGCCTGTTAGCTCAGTACTGGGGAATCCGATAGAAGATCGCAGGCATGGGCTGAATATAAAGAGCTCCAGGCTCAGTGAGACTCGGCCTCAGAAAGGAAGGTAAAGTGTAATTAAGTGACATCAGACCTTGACCTCATACACATGTACATACACCCACACACGAACACTTATACACAAGACACACATCACATCTCAAACATGACATCTTTCCTGCCCACTTAATGTCCAGTCCATTCCTATTCTCTCTACCCCTACACTGAAGATTGTCACCAAGGAGCCATAGCCTTGTGAAATTACCTTCCCCCAAAGAGATCGTGAGCTCCAGAGACACCCACACACCCTCCTCATGGAGTGCCTGCTATGGGGAGCAGTGGGGACAGTCTCAGCCCCAACATACCAATCCTCATTCATCCCGTTCTCAGATGAATGCCCAGAGGTTTGTTAGTAAAAATAGAGACTGGAGTCATCTATAAATTAAACCTCCACAGGAAGTTTTCATATGGTGTCCTTAATACCTCGGTTATAATATGTAGAAAATCTCACCTGGAGGAAACAGTCCTTGTGTCTCAACCCCTCCCTCCTGTCCCTCATCTCTTTCACTGGAACATTAACTGCTTACTGAGCGGTCATTGCTGGGAAGCCAAACTGACTGTCAGATAGATACCTTCTAGGTGGGTGAGCCTGGCCAGCTCCTCCCCATGGGGCTCATTTCCCGAACTGTAAAATGAGGAGAATAACCACTTCTCGGGCTGATGCTCTGGTTAATGGCCCATAGGTGATCCATCCATGCTCACTGTACCAAATGGTCCCTGACAGACTGCCTGCAGGAGCTGGTAATGTCCTTCTTATCATCTCTTTGTGTGTGCGTGTGTGTGTGTGTGTGTGTGTGTGTGCGCGCGCGCGCGCGCATTCACATGCCGTGTGTGTATGTTGGGGGGGGGGGGGCAGTGCCTGTAAAAGCCAGAAGAGGATATCGGATCCCTTGGATCTGGACTTACAAGTGTTTGCGAGCCACCAGAGCATGATGGGAACCAAACTCAGGTCCTCTGGAAGAGCAGCAAGTGCTCTTAACTGCTGAGCCATCTCTCCAGCTCCTCATCATGTCTTCCTTGGGTTATGACAGGCCCTGCGGTGAGCTCTTCCTCACATTACATGTAGTCCTCATGGAGTCACAGCTTTGATTGCTGGGTTCCATGAGAGAAGTCAAATAGCTAGGTCAAGGTCACAGCTATAGAGCCAAAGGTGGTGCTAGAATCTCTCCAACCCTCAAAACCTCGGGTTTTGTTTTTGTTTTTTCCAGGATGGGGGTGGTATTGAACTCAGG